CTTATGACTTGGAAAATTTAGTAATTTTTTATTACTATTGTTTTCAAAGCAATTAAAACGAAATTCCATCATTGTTGACTTTCTTTTTATTAATTCGAATAGTTAATTTTTTTGCTAAATGATGATGAGATAGGTTGTTACAAGGATTAATTAACTCAGTATTATGTTTTGAACAGAAATTAAAAACTAACATGTCCAAAAAAAAATTTAGGTGAATAGTATAGAGAATAAATATTTGGACAAATTTGTCTTTATTAAATTTAGTAATTATTATTGATAATAAAAATCCATAAAAATCAGTGGTAAAGAATATGGAAAGCGGTGGATCTCGAAAATAAAAGATAAATACATATAGTTGACTATTTTCAATTTTTTTTTATGTTATTGTAGTTAGTTATAATTCCAATACCGTAAACAATTTGTTTCAGATGGCAAAATGGACTATAGTTGTTGTGATATTGGGTGAATGAGTTGTTTTGGAGACTAATGTTCAAGATTTCAAACCTAAGCAGGACGAGTTGTTCAAATGTGGTTATTGTGTCCGTAGACAGTATAGTTAGCTATGTAATGAATATTATATATATAATTAACTATGTAACACATAGCTAACTATCTCTTGTTAATGGATAATATAGTTAGTTTATGTCATGAGTACTGTGTAAATATAGTTAACTATGTAACACGTATAGCAAACTATACATTGTTAATAGATAGTATAGTTAGTTGTGTCATGATTACTGTGTAAATATAGTTAACTATGTAACACATAACTATTTTTTGTTAACGGACAGTATAATTAGTTATGTCATGAGAATTCTGAAAACGAAAGTTTTGGATAAAAAGAAAGTTTTTTTTTTTTAAATTGTAAAAATCTTTACTAATTATAGAAGGGCAAAACGAGAATTTAGTCTAATCTAAATGCTAGTTACTATATTATGTTTCACATAGTGTTATATAATTAATTATAAGTGGAGAGACTAATATAGATGCTAATTTCTCTTGTTACAAGTGGGAAACCTTCTCTCTTTTCTTCGAAAGCTTTTTTAATATTTTAATTTTTTTTAAGAATGTAAATATATTATGAAAAATGATAACGTAGTTATATGGCAAAAAATTAAAAATATAAAAGCATAATTTGTGAAGATTTTCAGTTCGCCCATTCAACATAAACACGAATACTAACGTGGAGTTAGACAAAGTGATGATGATATTTTTTGTGCGAAAGCAAACATCACAAACCGAGAATACTAATACGTGAGCGCTAAAAGTCTTTCAATAGAGGTACGAGATTGAGTCGTGAACGGCAAAGACCTCCAAAGCTCTCGATCACGTGAGAACGACTTGATGTACAATACCATGAGCTAACACAAAGGAAAAACCTCGTAAACCAAAATAAGTGAATGGCGTCGCTCACCTACAAAATTCCTACGGAGCTAGATAGAACTACTATAACCAACAAACACAATTAGTTTTACTAACTCCTATAGTGCACAAGTCTAAAGCATACAAGCCCAAACGCAAAGTCAGCAAGTCTACAAGGCAACATCAGCAGCAAGACACAAGTTCTTTTTTTTTTTTAATTTTGATTTCTGTCGGATTAAAAGTCCGACAATGGTCAGATTGTTAAGCTCTGTTTCATCGGCTAATGATTCGATCAGTTTTGTTTTGTTTTGATTCTAACTTTGTACATGATGTATCCAATGATTACCAAATTGGCACAATTCATTTACAATTTTCGGCGATCTATAGTGAAAGACTTTTGCAATAGTATTCAAAAAGAATTGGGAGGCACGCTCAATGGATCTCTCTAGAATTTCATTGGAAAGTCGAATATACATAGCATGATAGCGATGGCGATCTAATTGGCGGTGTTTCTCCCCGTCAACCCTTTGTATTATACGTGTGGAAGATTAGTTA